AGAGAGAGAGAGAGAGAGAGAGAGAGAGAGAGAGAGAGAGAGAGAGAGAGAGAGAGAGAGTGACATGCAGCAAAGGGCCACAGGCTGGAGTCGAACCCAGGCTGCTGTGGCAACAGCCTTGTACATGGGGCACCTGCTCTACCACTAAGCCACCGATGCCCCACAGGTGTATTCTTAAAGAAAGCCAAAACCTGCAGTTCCTCTAACGTCCACTAGAGTGCATCCCCTCCATGTTCACATGTAGAAATTAACATGTTTACAGCCTGTCTGGTCTCTGGAGATCATTTCTACCTTTTTATACAACTCACCTGTTTATACTTTATTAAGACTTAAAGTTACACATCATTAAGGGGGCGGGGCATCTTTGAGTGACAGGCTGTCTGCTGACAGTAGATAGATCCACACCTCCCTCCTCCACAGCTCCACCCTCTCACTCAAATATGGTCACTTCTGGCTCCAAATATATATATTTAAGTAAGTGAGTGAAAAAGACTAGCCATCATTTCCGTGCAAGTGTGTTTGTGGGCTGCCTGGGAAGTAATCGTTACAATAGCATGTGGATATTAATAAATATAAATAATATAATATAGAAAGAATCTGATCTGAAATCAACAGTAGGTAAGACACTGATCATGTCACGGAATCATGTCACCTACATGTAGCTACATGCTAACATCAGGGAATCATGTAGCTACATGCTAACATCAGGGAATCATGTAGCTACATGTAGGTGACATGATTCCCTGATGTTAGCATGTAGCTACATGATTCCCTGATGTTAGCATGTAGCTACATATAGATGACGTTTCCCCAATGTTAGCGTGTAACTACATGCAGCGGTAGCATGGAACAGATGATCATATGGCGCTGACATCAGCTTGTAGCAAAGTTAAAAACGATGTTGTGAAGTGTTCTGTCGGTTAAAGAGTGATTATGTTTTGACTCTGGACTCATTGGTCATGACTCGTGACCTGACAGTTGAGACTTGACCATGACTCTGTCCATGTGTGTTGGTGACATGATGTTGTGTTGAAGTGATACAGACGACACACAAATACACAAGTTCAGTTTGAGCTTTTATAGACATTTGAATGAATAGATTTATAGAATATAAACAAGCTGTCTGTCCATCTGTCCGTCACCTGATACACAAATAAATAATCTGACCTCTGACCCCGACATTAAATCACCCACACATCATCACACCACAGCTGGCTCCTCCTCCAGGCTTTTGGCACACTCACAACGTTACCATGGTTACCCTTCTCCCTCCCTTAGTGTGCACTCAGAGAGAACTACAGTACCCATCAGCCCCTGCTTCATCGCCTCATTTTATAAAACAGTGACGCCCCGAAAAACAGAGTCCTGTACATGCATCGCTGCCGTTACCATGGTTACCATACTTTATAAAAAGGGACTCCACCCACCCTCCCTCCCGCCCGCCCCCACCCACAAAAAAAGATACAATGTTTGTTCATTCATATAGCGACCAATCAGAACACAGCCTGCAGTTAATGTCACGTTAAAGGACTGTCTCTGCTGACCACGTTCCAAATCAAACAGTCGTCACACCTGAGCAGGTGACAGCAACCCCGACAGTGCCCTCAAGGACACTCTGAACATTACTAATGTTAATTCATTGTTGCAGAGTCAAAGTGCACCTGAACGCACCGCCGCCGTCAACTGCACCGGAAACAACAGAGACTCGTCATGTGATCTCGTGTTCGCCAGCGGAACGACCCAGCTGCTCCAGACGTCACGAGAAGAGACAGGAACTCAGAGCTGAGTGAACTTTACTGAACACTGACCACAGTGTGGGCGGAGTCTGTTCGGAGGGTCAATCTGATCCCTACGATGTGACTGGTTTGGAAAATGGTCAGAAAACAGCATAACGGTCCTTTAAACAGCTGCACAGGCTGATGGGAGTCTGAGTCCACCTGCACAGTCATCATGTGACCTCAGTGAAGCTGCAGCAACACGTTATTTTATCATCGAGTCATCATTCACTGTTTGTAACCATCGTCACTGACTCGTCTCCGACTTGTCAATAACTTCTCACTGACTCGTCAGATTAGTTGATAAAATAATCAGTAGTTGCAGCTGTGATCTGAATAAACACATTAACGTGTCACCGTTCAGAGGGCTGCTGACCTCTGACCCCCACAACGTGCACACACGCACACACGCGTGTGTGCGCGCGCACACACACACACACACACACACACACACACACACACACACACACACAGGGCGTCATAGTGGGACGTCCAGCAGCTTCTTGTGCAGGTACTGTTTCACCTCCTCGATGCCATTCAGCTTCTCCAGCTCATGGTACGGCAGCTGAGGGGAGACAAAAAGACAAGTCAAACACCATCTGACATCTGAAGGCTACTGGTCCTTTTACACCGTGGTGACATCGCACCTTTATTCCTCCTCACCAGCCTGTATAAAAGGGACAATCAGAGAATGAAGGGACAGAGTTGTGTGGCCTTCAGGCTGACAGTGGAGGTGGTAACAAAGCCAAAATGATGTCTGTATGACAGGACAGTTGCAGGATGGGATGTCTTGTGTGCGACCCACTGCGGGAGATTTAAAAAGCAGCTAACTCAAAGAAGAACAGTAGCTGCTAGCAGTTAGAGGCTTACTCAAAGAAGAACAGCAGCTGTTGGCAGTTAGCAGCTAACTCAAAGAAGAACAACAGCAGATGTTAGCAGCTAACTCAAAGAAGAACAGCAGCAGTCCTCTGGTGCGGTCAGAACCACCAGGAGCTGAACCCGCTCAAGACTGTGGAGATGACAGTGGACTTTAGGAGAGGCCCCCCGACACTGCCCCGCCTCACCATCGTCAACAGCACAGTGTCTACTGTGGACACCTTCAGGTTTCTGGGTACCACAATCTCTTGGGACCTGAAGTGGACCTCACACATAGACGAGCTCTGGAAAAAGGCCCAGCAGAGGCTGTGCTTCCTGCGACAAGTGTTGTCACGGTACCAAAATTGGGACCCACGGTACGATACCAGTGACAGTATCAGAGTTCTATCTCTCTTCCCCCCACTTTTGTTAATTCTGGTACATTTAAAGCAAGTCTACCAGCGTCAAATTCCTTGTGTGTACACACATACTTGGCGAATAAAGCAGATTCTGATTCTGAACATTTGAGCACCACCTGGTGGAGGTTTGTGGTTGACACAGTGTCACCTGACCTGATTAAAGACAGGTGTGCAGGGATCAGCTGAGTGCTGAAGACGACATGAGGAAACAGTCTGAAACCGCTGTGTGTTTGCTTTAATCTCAGTTCACCATTCGAAGTATGACATCATCACATCAGCTGATCGGAACTGTTTATTTTGGGGAGCGTTTGTTTTAAAGAGTTGGTCAGAGGAATCGTTTACAGCTCCACCCGTCCTTCAGATCAGACCGCCGTCCAACCAGCTGCAGCTCCAGACATCATCAGTGAGGACAACTGAAGGTATCATTTTAATAAACCATGTTTCCTGTCAGTCTGGTCTTCAGGTGGTGTCTTTGAGGACGTTAAGACAGTCCTTTATTTGTCCGTTCCTCATTAACAGAGACATTAACTCCACATCTGCTGTTAAATTAACCTGCAGTTATGAGTCAGACAGAGACAGACTGAGGGACGTTAGGTGTGTGCGTGACTGCACCCCCTCCCATCCCTCCAACTCCATCATCAAGTTCATGGATGATACCACTGTGGTCGGGCTTATCATTAGAGGAGATGAGACGACTTCCAGGGAGGAAGTCCAGAAACTGACAGAGTCGTGTTCGGCCAACAATCTGCTGCTGAACACCACCAATCATCATAGACTTCAGAAACAAAAGAGCGGATCAGGTCCCACCATCATGTGACGGTTAATGGCCTCTTCGTTTGCGAGGACAAGGAGGGCGCGCAATTCCTTGTCTCCCCAGTTGCTCATCTTTACAGTGTCAGGTTTGTGTTTCCCTCTTGCTACTAGCTGCTCGCTAACACCTGCTATCAGCTGTTTCCTGTTTATCCACCGCCAGTGGCTCGCACGTGCATCGTCATCAACAGGAGCTCCTCCCACAAGTCATCAACAGCCCCTCCCACAAGTCATCAACAGCTCCTCCCACAAGTCATCAACAGCCCCTCCCACAAGTCATCAACAGCTCCTCCCATGGCGGAAGGCTGCCTCGTTCTTTTTAAACTAAAAGGGTTCCACCAATATGTCTACCCTACGAGGTGGAAAATTGGGCACCTCGGATCAACTCGCCAATCTGGCTCTGTGTGTCTAAACGCTCGCAGCTCGCTGGCAAAACCGCCCAACATTTGCAGAAAATCTGGCAGTGTAAAAGGGGCTTATGTGTGGTATGTTGGGAGCTCAGCTGCTGATAGGAAGGTGTTGCAGAGGGTAATTAACACAGCCCAGAAAATCATTGGCTGTCCTTTGCCCTCCTTGGAGGAGATCTCCAGCTCCCGATGCCTCAGCAGGACCAGTTCCATCCTCAAGGACTCTCATCACCAGCACATCATCTGTTTAACCTGTTGCCCTCAGGCAGGTGCTACAGGTCAATCAAAGCCCCAACCACCAGACTGACAAACAGCTACTTTCCCTGGGCAATAAGAACTCTGAACAGGCAATAATATGTGCAGTACAAGAAATGTGCAATCAACCGACTGCTGGTTTAACTTATTTATTTCTAAATCTCCTTTAGCACTGTTTTATTCATTGCTGTGTATGTGACATGTTGACGTCATGTTTGTGATCTGTTTTATGTTGTCATGTATCGTACTGAGATCAAAGGAGCAGCACCTACAATCTCATTATATTGCTATATAATGACAATAAAGTTTTCTAATCTCTAACCTGTAGGATGATGTATCCCAGCAGCCTCAGGTGCCGGTCCCTCATGGCTCGAGACCCGACCAGGACCTCTGAGTTGTGGCAGTAGTGCCACTTATCGTTGACAGACATGATGACCCTGCAGAGACACAGTGAGACATGAGGACACCTGTCAAACCTCCTCAGGACGTCCATCAGCTGACTCTGAGGTGGACTGACCTCCTGATCTGTCTCTGCTCTGTGGGGGGGTTGTCCCCGTCGGGTCTGTCAGGGGGGTGGAGCTGTAGTGACGGGGGCCCTCTGTCAGTCCCGGACCCCTCAGAATACGTCACATCCTCGTAGAATCCCGGCAGCTCGCAGTCTGTCCCAGGGCCCCCCAGGGTCCCCCCCTCGTCCTCCAGGATCTTCCCGATGGAAAACTGGAAGAGTGAGTCTGGGGCGGCGGCCCCTGTGGGGCCCTGGGCCCCGGGCGGGGCCAGGCCATCAGAGGGGGGGCTGCTGAGCGTGGAGCTGTCCTGGCTCTCCAGAGAGTGCTCCTTGGCCAGACTGGAGTAGTACTCTGCTGCAGGGACATAGTAGGGCCCATAAGGGCCGCCGTTAGTCCCGGGCCGTGGGGGCCCTGAGGGAGCCGTGGCCCCTGGCGTGCTGCGGATGTGGTGGGGAAGGAAGGACCTGGACTCCATGGCCCCGCCCATCGCCTCGCCCACGTGACAGGCCTGCTCTACCCCCTCCTCCAGTGCTGTGAACGGAGAGAACTTCTGGAACTCTGAAGTCACCACAGCAACCGCTCCATCAGCCGGTTTGGACGCCACGGCGACACAGGACGGAGGAACGATGCTGAGAGCCAGACCAGCTCCAGTCCTGATGGGTAGAACCCGCCCAGAACCGTCCATCCACAGGACAAAGTCTGGAGACAAAAGAGAGTCCAAGTATACACCTGAAACTGTGAGGGTCATAAGGACAGAGGGATGTCGTATGCTGTAAAGCCCTGTGAGGCAAATTGTGATTTGTGATATTGGGCTTTATAAATAAAATTGATTGATTGAAACTGAAACTCTGTGTGTGTGTGTACTACTGTGTGTGTGTGTGTACTGTGTGTGTGTATGTGTGTGTGTACTGTGTGTGTGTGTACTGTGTGTGTGTGTACTACTGTGTGTGTGTGTGTGTGTGTGTGTGTGTGTGTGTACGTGTGTGTATTACTGTGTGTGTGTGGTAGTACAACTGTGTGTACTACTGTGTGCAGTATTCAGTGTGCAGTACCTGTGTAGTATCCTGGAGCGAGCACTTCATCCTGTTTGTAGTTCTGTTCTCCGACCAGCTGTCTCAGAGCCTCAGCTACCAGACCTTTATAACTGACAGAGACAAAGGAATCAGGACCAGTTCATCCAGTAACAGGAGCCAGTTAGAACCAGTCTGAGGTGATCAGGTGTCTGTTACCTGTACTTGTGTACAGGTGTGTATGTTACCTGTACTTGCGGTTGACCTCATCAGCGGTCAGGGCATGGTCAAACATCAGGACCTTGTGGGCGTCCTGCAGGCGTGGTCCAGTGTACTCACGGTACTCCAGCTCCACCGCAGCGTCCAGCAGAGAGAGGTACCGCCGGACGATGAGAGCGTACGGACTGTCTGTACACACACAAACAGCACACAGGTACCAATACTTGAAACACCTGCGGTAACAGTAACTTGTACTCTGAAGTCCTGCTGACAGGATCGACCCTGAAAGACCTCTCAGGAATCACAACCCACAGCTAGACTGGGAACTTTACTGATTGTGTCGAGCTATAATGGCTGTACTGGTTGTGTTGTGGTACTGACTGGTGACGTTGCTGATGAAGGCGGAGGAGAAGACTCGGTGCAGCACCAGGCCGGGGAAATGTCCCAGCTGGAACAGAGACATGAGGATGTTGACGGTGGCGAGTGGCGAGCTGAGCGCCTTCAGCTCCACCACCTCCTCCAGCCGAGAGAAGAACTGCTGCTCGTTGGATGGACGGTAACTCATCCTGCTGAACGGGAACACCAGCTTCTGGATCACCTGAGAAACCACAGACAAACGCATCTGCACAGTCACAGGTACACAAGGCACACAGGTACTGAGATCATGTGACCACTAGTCCAGTCCTCACCTTACTGTCCAGATACTCGGCCTTCTTCACCAGGAAGTCTGCGATGGTGTCGAGCAGTCGTGTCTCTCTCAGCCGATGGCGAGCGATGTATTTGGCAATCAAAGCCATCGTGTACGGAGTGATGCTGTCTACCTTCTTTGGCAACTCCTCTGTTTCAGAGCAACATGTCACATGATCAACACAGCGTTTCCATGGAGCAGTCCTCTATGGCTGGGTTCAGGTTTGAGGGTAGGTTGGATAGTATTGACAGTTTGTACCCAGTGTGTACCCAGTGTGTACCCTGTGTGTACCCAGTGTGTACTTGATGTGTACCCAGTGTGTACTTGATGTGTACCCTGTGTGCAGTCATTGGTGAACCCCTTCCGAAGCTCACCTGCCAGGCTGCTGATGAACCTCTCCTGTCGGTTCTGGTAGAACAGGTGAGAGCTGAAGATTAACTCCAGACTTTTGTTACTCGCCTCACGAACACACGCTGCCAGCATTTCATCTAAAAGTGCCATCTCCTGGTCACGAACACCGCTGACACTCGCCAGAGTGTGTTTGACCAGACGCAAGATCTTCCTGAAAGTCGGAGGAAGACAAAAAGACGTCATGAATACTCAGATAAAAATCATTTTAGATGCTGTCACGTGAAAAACAGGATGTACGACCTGTTGGCAAGCAGTTGTTCAGGGTTTGGAGACGTGTTGTTGTTGTTAGCTGTAGTGGCGTTGGCGCCCCCTGTAGCAGCGGTGGGTTCCTGTGGCTGCAGCGAGCGCCACTTGAGTCTGTAGTAGGAGAGCAGCAGGAAGAGCGTCTGCGGGTGGCGCTCTCTCTCCAGGTTCTTCTCCAGGCCAGCCAGGCAGGCCTCAGTCAGCGGGTGCTGGCTGCCCGGGTGGAGCTTCATACTGGAGCTGAACACCATGGACACATCCTTCTGGTTAAATTGGTTCAGTCTGGACTGAGACTCCGCCTCCAAAACCTGGACCACCTGAGAGTCACTGGGAAGACCTGAAGAGACCACAAACACAAAGATCCAGACATCACAAATCCTCCAGGTCTGATGCTACGCAGCCATTTCCTGTCTGGGTTTGTGTTGGTGCGCACCTTTGTCACTACTACTCACCTGAGAACCTCCTCCTGTGTCTCTGCTGCCTGTCACTTTCATGGATATGCTAACTGTTACATAATGATGTCACACGTAAGCAAATTAGTTCATGATGTCATCTAGCACGTTTCCCAGCAGGCCACTGAAACACCTGTGGAGCCTCACTTGAGAGGAGCTCCTCCTGTTAAACCTCTGCCACTATCATTGGGACTCACCGAGTGCCGCCACGGCGTACAGACAGTTGACGATGCTGAAGTTGTCAAACTTGGCGCAGTCATTGACGATGGCGTTACAAAGCGTCTGGAAGTCCTGATGCTCCAGGATCTGACGTCTGTCACCTGCCTCTGCCCCTCCCCCTCCTCCTGAAGCCTCAGTGTCATGGTCATCCCCTCCGCCTCGAGGCGGCGGCGTGGCCTGTAGCAGCTGTCCAATCTTCTGCAGGGCAACGGGGTAGTGGTTATGGGAGATCTTGGCAGGGTTCTGGGTGACCCAGCGCAGCACCTCATCAGGATGCCGCGAGCGTTCGATCAGACGCTTCATGGTGAAGAACGTGTCATAGCTCATCTTTTCGTGGATGAAGTTCCACGTCTTCTTCTTGTTGCCGGCGGTGGCGGCAACCCCTCCAGCCGGAGCCCCCCCTCCGTATGTGTGGAAGTGGGCGTGGTGCTGGTAGTGGGGGGGCAGCGGAGGCGGGGCCAGGTGCGCAGGCTGCGGATGGGGGTGGTAGTGGTGGTGGAAGTGCGTTCCTCTGTGGGCATCAGGGCGACCCTGGTATAGCGGGTAAGCGGGGGGAGGTGGGGCCGGGTGGTGGGGGAGGTGGGGATGAGGCGCATCAAGCATGGACAGCCCCGCCCTTCGCCCCTGTTTAACACCACCACCTCCTCCCCCTCCTCCTCCTCCTCCTCCTCCCCCCGCGGTGCTGTAGAGGCGGGTGGCGTACATGTCAACAGACTGAGCGACGGGCAGAGGGGGGCAGGGAGGGAGGCGGTGAGCTCGGCTCAGGAGGTGCCACGCAGTGGACAAACACAGCATAGTCCAACAGCTGGGCCGCCAGGAAGCAACAGCGCACAACTCCTGCAGGGGAGAAGGAGGAGGAGGTGAAGGAGGAGGAGGGGGAGGGGGAGGAGGAGAGGGAGGAGGAAAAGGAGGAGGAGGAGGGGGAGGAGGAGGGATTAAAGGAGCAGCTCAACAGACATCCACCTCCTAACAGAGACAACAGAGCTTATCAACACGTCACATGACAGTGCAGGACGTGTTTGTGTTTCAGTATCCAGACGGCGTCCTGATTTAACAGGTGTGAGCTCATCTGTCGTCACCGCCTCGTCTCCAAACAGGAACATCTGAAACATTCTGGTTTATCAAACACAGTGGAAACAAGGAGGAACCAAAGTATCAGGTGACGAACCACCTGACCACAGAACTGACAGGTGACATAAGCAAAGACCAGAAAAACCTCATGACCTGAACTCATCACCAAAGGAGAACAGAAAGCAGAGCAGAGACTAGGAGAGGAGAGCAGAGACCAGAGCAGAGGAGAGCAGAGACTAGGAGAGGAGAGCAGAGACCAGAGCAGAGGAGAGCAGAAAGAAGAGACTAGAGGAGAGCAGAGACTAGGAGAGGAGAGCAGAGAAGAGCAGAGACAAGAGGGGAGCAAAGACCAGAGGAGAGCAGAAACAAGAGGGGAGCAAAGACCAGAGGAGAGCAGAGACCAGAGGAGAGCAGAAAGAAGAGACTAGAGGAGAGCAGAAAGCAGAGCAGAGGAGAGCAGAGAAGAGCAGAGACAAGAGGGGAGCAAAGACCAGAGGAGAGCAGAAACAAGAGGGGAGCTGGGACAAGAGGAGAGCAGAGACAAGAGGGGAGCTGAGACAAGAGGAGAGCAGAGACAAGAGGGGAGCAGAGACAAGAGGGGAGCCGAGGAGAGCAGAGACAAGAGGGGAGGAGAGCAGAGACTAGAGCAGAGAAGAGCAGAGACAAGAGGAGAGCAGAAAGCAGAGACTAAAGAAGAGCAGAGACTAGAAGAGGAGAGCAGAGACTAGAGGAGAGCAGAAAGCAGAGCAGAGGAGAGAAGACACAAGAGGGGAGCAGAGACAAGAGGAGAACAGAGGCAAGAGGGGAGCTGACACAAGAGGAGAGCAGAGACAAGATGGGAGCAGACACAAGAGGGGAGCAGAGACCAGAGGGAAGCAGAGACCAGAGGGGAGCAGAGACAAGAGGAGAGCAGAGACCAGGGGGGAGCAGAGACAAGAGGAGAGCAGAGACCAGGGGGGAGCAGAGAGCAGAAGTGAGCAGAAGCTGCAGAGTCAGCAGTTAGACTACATCAGATAAAATGATCAATTAATCAGCTGCTCACACAGTCCTCCTGCTCCTCCTCTGTCCTCCTGCTTATCTGTCCTCCTCCTCTTCTCCTTTCTTCCGTCTCCCATTTTCTGCTCCTCTCCTGTCTTCCTCCTCCACCTCTGTCCTCTCCTGTCTTTCTCCTCCACCTTTGTCCTCCTCCTCTGTGTTCCTCCTCCTCTCCTGTCCTCCTCCTCCTCTCCTGTGTTCGTCCTCTCCTGTCTTACTCCTCCACCTCTGTCCTCCTCGTAACTTCAGTCAGCCCAGGCCCACATGCTAACGTTAGCATCCTGTCGGCCGATTAACCCCCTTTCCACGGTATCACAGAGACATCACTGCCTGAATCATATAAATATGATGACGTCATATCATATGTGACGTACCTGTGTGTGTGTTTTTTTTCGGCCGTCTGTCCAGCTTACCACCGGGCAGCTGACAGCTGTTAGCCGAGCAGCTAGCTGTCAGTTAGCAGCTCAGTTAGCAGCCCGACTAACAGCAGCACGTCAGGGGATTCACACAGGACAGAAGCCGTGAAGCTAATCGGGACACCATGCTAACGGAGGCTACAAGCTATAAACTGAGTTAAAACAAGCTAACTGTCGGCTAAGCTACACTAGCCGTTAGCTCCGATCCTCCACCAGCTGATCTGTTAGCCTGTTAGCATCAGTGTGTCCTTCTCTCAGCCGCATATAACCCGCTTATTAACCCGCTAATGACCCGGGTTATAACCCGGCGAGGAGTGTGTTTACCTCATAGCTCAGTGACACCGGCAGCTCCGCTCAAACACCTGAGGCCGCTGACAGTGCGGGTTCACCGGGGAAACAGTCAGCGGTCAGCAGCTTCATTCCTCCACACAGCCCGGCATGAAACTGTCGGAGAGCCGGGGGAGTTCGACAGCGCCCCCCGACGGCTGCTGCCTTAACAACACCTTTATTATAATTAATATATATATATATGTTATATACATGTTTATTACATGTGTCACGTGTCTGCTGCTCAAACGATGTTTACCGTGTCCAATCCTCCCAACACAGAACAGAAAGCCGTCAGTATCCAGTGAAATGAGGATGAGTGTAATGAACAGAGACAACACTGGTTCAATAATGAGAAAAATGATTGCACTATAATTGATTTACTTCTTGCACGAGATGAAATGCGATCATTGCTCCTCTGTTTGTGGTACTCCTCCTGATCACTGTGACAAAGTAAAATCCTTACAACAAGTCACATTCTGTTGATTACTGATTAATTTAAATACAGCAGAGAGGAGCACGTGACACCTCCGTCCTGCAGGGGGCGGAATGCGTCATCAAACAACAGAAGAAGAAGAAGGAGGAGGAGGAGGTTGCAGTAAATATGGCGGCGCAGTGTGATTACGGAACAGAAATCTTGAACTTGACTCGTGTTTAGGGCCCGGTACCGTCTTTTCCTGCCGCTTAGTGTCGGTGTGAGTCCGGTGTGAGGATGGCCCACCGCTACCTGCGGCTGTCAGCCGGCTGCAGGAACACCTTCCGGCTGCTGCTGCCCTCCAGCAGCGCTCCAGCCAGACAGGTAGGTGGATATCATGCTAACATGCTAACTGCTAACGGGAAACCGACCAAAACAAGACCGACACCGACCCCCGTAACACCTGAACATTGACCAAAACAAGACCGACACCGAAACACCGACCAAAACAAGACCCTCGTAACACCTGAACACAGACCAAAACAAGACCGACACCGACCCCCGTAACACCTGAACATTGACCAAAACAAGACCGACACCGAAACACCGACCAAAACAAGACCCTCGTAACACCTGAACACAGACCAAAACAAGACCGACACCGACCCCCGTAACACCTGAACATTGACCAAAACAAGACCGACACCGAAACACCGACCAAAACAAGACCCCCGTAACACCTGAACACAGACCAAAACAAGACCGACACCGACCCCCGTAACACCTGAACATTGACCAAAACAAGACCGACACCGAAACACCGACCAAAACAAGACCCCCGTAACACCTGAACACAGACCAAAACAAGACCGACACCGACCCCCGTAACACCTGAACATTGACCAAAACAAGACCGACACCGACCCCCGTAACACCTGAACACAGACCAAAACAAGACCGACACCGACCCCCGTAACACCTGAACATTGACCAAAACAAGACCGACACCGACCCCCGTAACACCTGAACACCGACCAAAACAAGACTGACACTGAGCCCAGTGACTCAGTGAAAGTAAAAATGAAAATGATAAAATAATAATAATGATGATAATGATGAAACAAAAACATAATACAATGCAGTAAACAATGTTTCTTCCCCTTTCTGTCAGGTGACGTGTTCGACCACGGCAGGACAGGTAGAAAGGGGGCGGAGCCTGCTGAATGAGCTGCTGGGAGTGTACAGGAGTCTCAGTTCCAGACCACCTAAAGGTACACGACTCTGAGTGTGTGTGTGTGTGTGTGTGTGTGTGTGTGTGAGTGTGAGGACTGGGTGAGGACGTCTTCCTGTGTGGACAGACGCTCTGGTGCTGCTCAGGTGTCTGGCCAGTTTTGTCCACCTGATGCTCGCAGTGTCGTCTGAGGTTGTGTTGGCAGGGTTCGATCACATCATCAGTCAGGATGAGGCTCACAGGGCTGAGAACAGGACGCTCACTTTGGGTTAAACAAACATTTTAATTCTTTAATTAAAACGTGAGACCATTTTTGTAATGGCAGTTTGCGCCTTAAATTCTGTGTCTGGTTGTGTTTTTATTCAGAGTCATATAAAAGCAAGAGCACGTGGAATCAACCGGTCCGTTCAGTTTTATCTGAAGTCGACACTGAAAATGCTCCTTTGATAATCGTGACGACATCATACCATCTTTCACGACCATCTTAATGTCTGCATCACAGACATGAAAGACATATAAGTATTCATTTTTAACTCAACACTTCCTGTTTGTGTTTCAAAATAAAAGCCCTCTTACATAATTTCTATGAACAAAAACCTCTTCATTTGTCAACACAAGGCTTTTATTGTGAAATATTATCAGGTGGGTGTTGATGATGATGATGATGATGCAGTGCTCTGCTCAGCTCTGTAACTAAGCAGAGCGCCAGCTTTAATACAGTCATCACAGCAGCAGCGCTGCCGTCTATATGAACACTGCACACGTGTGAGCTGTGTGTGCACGCTCAGGGCGCAAGACTCACAGGAAGCAGTGTTCTAGATCATGATGTTTGAGGTCCTGTGTTCGTGAGGCTGTGATCATGTGACTGGATGAATGATCCTGCAGCAGCTGTGTCATGGCGTCCCTGTTCACCGTGGAGACACCAGATGAAAACAAGGGTTCTTCATAAATGACATTTTCACAGCTGGAAAGTAACTGATGTACAGACGCTCATTCTGTGGTGGAACTGTTCCTTTAATGCTCAGACGGTCCTCATTAGTACAGAAGTCCTGACATGTCCGTGTCCAGCTCAGTGACCTGTTTTTTTTTCTTCTTCAGGTTTTGAGAAATATTTTCCTGAAAATCAGAGAAATCCAAAAAACACTGAAGCTGAGGAAAAAACCAAAGGTACAAATCTACTGTCCTCTGCTGTCCTCTACTTTCCTCTACTGTCATCTACTGTCATCTACTGTCACATCTACTGTCACATCTACTTTCCTCTACTGTCATCTGCTGTCATCTACTGTCACATCTACTTTCCTCTACTGTCATCTACTGTCATCTACTGTCACATCTACTGTCACATCTACT